TTCCTGGCGAAAAAAGAAATAAGAAACCGAAAGATGAAATAATTGATGGGAGAATTATCCCAAAGTCCTTAAAAAAATTTAATTATCAAGAAATTCTTGACAAGGATTAACATAAATCTGTTATTATTTTTTATTCTGAACTTGTCCTTATAGACTCTTCAAAATTTAAAAATAATTAATTTTTTTAAAACCTTATTATAATTCTTTCGTTATTGATTTCTTTTTGTCATGTAAGTTGGAATATTAAGGTTTGAGCGTTGAAGTGATAATCTAATTAATTAAACCGATGCCATGTCACACACGCTTTCAAGCGACCCACCATCACTTTTGAATCAAATCAACACGTATACGGTAAATACGACTTTAAAGCTGATGTTGAATAATTTAAAATATATTTTCTTTAAAAAAGCACACTGCTTTGTATTTTAACGTAAGAGGTGGTTTTTTTTAATTTTAAATATAAAATTTATTTTATTTTATCTTTTATATTTATCTATTTTTGTAGTAGTTATATATTAAAGATTTTATTAAATGATAATTTTAACTAATACACATTATTAGTAAGGGTATTCAGCACCTACTATCTCAGGTCTTTAATATAAGAACTAATTTGACATTTAATTTGTTTTTAAATATAATATTTTAATATATTTTATCTCTAATATTTCTTTATTTCTTTAAGATAGTGTTTATAATAGTTGAATGTGTTAAAATTTTTATCAAATAATAGTTCTAACTAATACATATTATTAACAACAGCATTTTAGAAAAGACAATACCTATTTATTATGAATATTTAACTCAGCTAGTTTTTTTAATTTATTTAAATTAGTCAACTAATTTTAAAAAATTATTTAGACAACTATAAATAATACAGTAGTAACTTGCATTTCGCCGGCTGATGATTAGTTTGTAAGATTTCTGATTTGGGAACTTACCATATTCACTAATTTTTGGGCCTGAACACCAGATTTCCTATTTAGATCATTAGATGTGCATGGTGGGACCCGGTCAACGATAGGCCTAACCTAGAAAGTTAACCTAGTGACCAGTTCATGTTTGGACATGCAACCCACCAGCCCGAAAAACTCAAAAAGCGGGTCAGGTTGACCCGAATCAGCACGTGTACGGTGAGAGTTCAGGGGTACTAGCAACCATACATGGAAATACCTTCTTTTTTTTTTTTTTAAATTTTGCTTACAAATAAAATTTTATACACACACACCCAAACCAACTTCTATACTCAAATTCCTCAAATCCCTTAATTTTAATTTGTTCAAAATTACGCTAAGTGCAGTTTTATCATAAGGGCCCTACCGCCATGGTCATTTTTTTCTCCCACTGATGGAGGATGGCACGCAGGACGAAAAAATAACAAAAAATGAAATTAGAAAAAATTTCAAAAAAATTACCTCTTGGAAAAATCGGTCTTGTTTATTAATTTTAAAGTTAATATAATCTTTGATCATTCAAATTTGTTCTTATTTTGGTTTTAGTCCTTCAAGTTTTAAACCAAAATTTTTGGTCCATAAGGGGCAAAATGGTCCAAATTTTTATTAGATTATAGGGACTAATGTTTTAAATGAAAAGAAACTTGAAGGATTATAACCTACAGTTTGAAACTTGAGAGACCAAAACCAAAATGAAGATAAATTTAAAAGGCCAAAATTTGTATTAACCCTTAATTTCAATAACAATTAACTACGCTTGAAAAGCAAATGACCATATATTTTTGTAATAATTTTTTATTTAAAATTTTAAAATTCAAAAGATTTTTTTTTTTAAGGTTTTCCCCCGAGAATTTATGAAAATGAACCCGTTCATGTAGTGCGATTTTGACGATGAAAATGTCATATTTTGCTGGTCTGGGTCATGTCCATTCCACTTATCCATAGTTTTGGGCTTCTTGGGCTTCATCTGATATTGGGCCAAGGTGAGCTGATCCTTATCTATTCTACCGGCATAGGATAATGATGTTACACTACGCAAATGCTAAACATCATTGATTTTAAGGGCGCTTCATTCACTGTATTGATATTAAGATAAGTTACTTCCTGGTATATTTATTCTAATTCTATTCATTTTTTTAAGTAAACACTGAAAATTAAGACCTCCTAACTCCTAATTAAGATGGGTACGCAGCTCCCTCTTCAAAATTACTAAGTTTTCCATTCCGGTGATCATTTTTGCAAAGCTGACTTGGCTAGAATGAAAAAGTACGGCATAAAATTAGGATATGCTGAAATATATAAATATTTGTTGAATTTATTATGAGATCAGAGTGATTATTATACTCCAAGAATACTAACGTCCAGCCCCTACACAAGAGGTTATCTTGTCATCTCTATTCCTGTCCTAAAAGAGATAACTCCCACCCTCCCCCCCTGCGTGTGTGTGTGTGTGTGTGTGTGTTTGAAACTTGGGGTTCTTCTCTAAAAGAAAATATGAGGGACAGATCTATGTAAGTTGCATCATGTGATGCTTTTCAGGTAGAGATGTGATTGATAAACAGAAGGTGGAAGAGACATCCTTAGTGGGCAATGTTTGTAGTAAAAATAGCATATCCTCACTCTTAATATTCTCCCTTTCCTGATCTGCAACACCAAACTGGGCATATTGAACACAAAAGCGGCACTTTTTTGTTCAAGCCTCATCACCAGTTAAGAGGTGTTTGGAAACCCTCAACAGCACCTAAAAAAGTACTTTCGACATAAAACTCCACTTGCATATGTGTCTCGGACTCGGTAGAATTATTTTTAAAAAGCTGATCCAAACACTCCCTAGGTTAGATTCTTCTGAACATATATAATATTACTTCCGGTCTTAATTATAGGACCTTGTCTATAAACTATAAATGAAATCTTATAATTAAGACCGAAAGTAGTATATATGAAGACACAGGTCTCCATAGCCTCATATGGAGTCTTACCTTACACATATCCATTCTCAATTATAGGAGACGTACGTGATCGGTGATTGTTGTTAAGTTGTAATGATAATAACCTTTTAAATTCTATCCTCGTACCAACGTACTATATAGTGCTTCTTCATTGTGTTCTTGCACGGCATTTATTCCGAGGCTTGGCTACTGCAAACAAAGCCCCAATAGAGGCATTTGAGAACGGCCGGAAGCCCCTGGTCAAAAAACAAAAGAACGGGGAGCTACTTGACCAAGAAAACAGAATAATGTGAGCATCAGAGCAAATTAAGTACTACCTCCAATTCTTAATATAAGAGCTAGTTAACTAATTTGAGTAGATTAAAAAAATTAGTTAAGTTAGTTATTTCTAATAAATTGGCATTATCTCTTCTAAAATATTTTTGTTAATCAAGTGTCATTTGATGAAACATTCAATACATGCAACTACTAGCTGCAAGAACTAACTTTAAAAAATAGATAAATATAAAAGATAAAGTGGACTAGAGTTTTATATTTATGACCAACTTAAAAGTCAAATTAGTTCTTATACTAAGGACATAGTATTAATAACTAAATAGGGTGAGTAAAAATCCTATGTCGAACTAGCCTTATTAAACTAACTACCGGCCCACACTAAGAATATTTTAATTAGATAGTCAATGAAATATCATGATGATATAATGCAATATACTCTTCTGGTTCTTAATGTAAGATTTAATTAGGGAGTTAATTAATGTTGATCTTATATGTAAGATATATTTCACATGTTTCTCAAATTTTTCTCAAATTAACTGTATTGATATTTTTCTAATAATAATCAAGTAGGAGGGGATGGAGGGAGAGAATTAAGAAAGATACTTAGGGTATTTTAGAAAAAAAATATCATGTTAACTAATTTAACTAATATCCTTAATTTACTTAAATTAGTTAATTAGGCCCTACATTATATAATAATAATAATCAAAATATCTAACATTTAAATATTAATAACTGCAACCCAGCATCTCAAAGAAATATTTAACAATGGAGAAAATAATGCTTAATTTCTCCCCAGAAAGGCCAAATAACAGCGTGCAGAGTATAAGTACTAAACTTTAATTTGTTCCCATTCTTAAACTTTTCAAATGATCCAAAAATAAAACAACTTTTCAAAACTCTATAATTGATGTTTATAAGTAGTAATGATTGTTGTGGTTATCCTCCAGCGTTAATATAATCATTATCTTGGATAACAAATAATCATCATCTTAATTACTTAATGGACGGGTTGCTTAAGTTGCTCCAAACAAATTAGTCCAAACCGATCGACATAATTATGACACCAACTTCTGCCATTAGCAGCAACTAATTAATTAGAATTATGAAACTTGCAACTCAACCAGTTAATCGTGCTGGGTTAATTCCGCACCTACAAAATCACTCTATAGACTATAGAATGGTTATGCTAATTATGTGCCTCATAGAAGTCATCCCTAAACTTTTTTCAGCTAGTTTGGAAAACAATTTTTCAATCAAATCTCAATTTTTGGAATTTTTTCTGACTTTATTATTTACTTATATATAACGAAATATTATTTTGTTGTTATGCATTTTGTTTCGATTTTGAATTAAAAACATATCATAATAACAAAAATAATTATGTATAATATGAGAGCTTAGTGATAATAGATATGACGATTCAAGTTAAAAGCTGCGGTCCATCCATGTCAGAACATATATATCGATATAATGTGTGTGTGTGTGTGTGTGTCTCACACACACACACACACACACACACACGATCAAGAGCAATGGATAAAGTAAGAATTAAGAACTACTGTTAAAATGCACTCATCATCGCTAGTGCTTTGTACAATTATCCAAATCATTAAAAAAAAGCTTACAACAGGAAAGTTAGGACTTGGAACTAATTAAGGGAATTAAGGAATGCTAGAAAAATACAGCAACATGACGCACACCTATGGCTTAAGAAAAAGAACAGAAATTAACGTGTAATGGCTAATTAATTTTTCAACCCCCCAATTAATCTCAATTAATTAATTATTACTGTTATTTTCGCCTTCATCTGTTTTATCATCCCCAAACAAATTGAATTTACTTATAATTGGTAGTATCTCACGAAAATGTCAAAGAGCTAGCTAGCTGAGCAGCCCCCACATGGTGGACATTCAAGTTGGGGGGAACACATCACGTGAAAGTTCTGATATTATCAACTCATAAGCTGTTCCTTGTCCAAACATGCTATGGGCTGAGACTGCGGTGGCATTAGTGGTGGTTGTGGCTGTGTTGGCTGTGGTGCCGCCGCCGCCGCTGCCGGTGGTGGTGGAGGAGAGTGAAGCAGGTGGCCATTTGTATTGTTACTATTACCGTTTGCTGATGACTTGTCCATCTTCTGATGCAGGTTTTGTAGCTGCTGCTGATGATGATAGATTTGTCTTAGTCTTTCTATTTCCTTCTTTAATGCTTCGTGGTGAGCTGAGACCGACCACATTAAAACCGAATTAATCGGGGTGTGCTTATAGGTTTGGACAAAAAAGAAAACATATATAAAGCTGCGAAATTATCGACTAATGATGATGATAATGGAATTAATATATAGAACAACTGATAATTAAAATCATTAGAATTAAAATTACCGTCTTTGAAAATCTTGTCTTGAGCCAAAGCGGCAATACGTTGCTTCAAGGTACTGTTGTCTACGTTCAGAATCAGACGTTGGTGGTCCAAGAATGCTACCCTCGGCGACAATGCTGATACCTCCGTCTTCATTTTTTCACCCATCATTATTATTCATTCAAACTCATTAATTAATTACAAAATACCTATCTATATATGCTCTATCTATAAAGTAGACATGGTTATTGACCTGAATGATCCTTTTTAAGATGCCAATTAATAATTAATTACTCTTAAGCATAAAGTTATTTTGCCCATGCATGTGAAAGCCATAATGTTATGGTTCCTTAGGTACCGATAATAACAGTGATTTCACTATAAGTTATAGGAAAAAAAAAACAATTTGAAGAAATGACTTGAGCTTATATCAAATAATAATAGTTAACAGTACTTCTGAAGAAAAATTTTGAGTAAACTTAGTCTAAATTAACATAAAATGCAATAGGGATTTGTAATTTTAACGTGCTTATCATACTTATTTTATTTTGAATTCACCTAAAATCGTTTTAAATTTGTCGATAAGAAAAATATGGTCTGACCTTAACAGTTAGATGCCAAATGAATTGCCTAAAATTAGCTTTCATACATACCTGCAAAGTTGATACGCTTCTTTCTAAATCAGAAATGTACTGCAGCTTTCTCACCCTGGATCTCTGAGCCGACTGCCGATTTGCCAAAATTCTGATTTTTCACAGCATAATAAAGAAGAAGAAAAGATCATAAGTATAGATAATTAAATTAACAATGAAATCTATATATGTTTATCCCTTATAATTATTTGGTAACTATTATTACTATTAAGTTAATATATACGTTGGACCCAAAAAAAGTTAATATACACGTGCATGGGTTTATTGGATCTATCGGACGGCACCGAGATATAGATATGGCTTACCTTTTAACTCTTTTCGGATCAACGACTGATTCGCCTCCACCGCCTACCACGGAGGGTGGCGGCGGCGGCAGAGTGTCACTCTCATTCTTGCATTCGCTCTCCGCCTCCCCTGGTTCATTCTTGAGCTGTTTCTGCAATTTAAGGCCTTGTCTCGGAACGACGGCGTCGTCAATTACCATAGGCTTCTCCTCGTTATTGCTATTCTGGTCATCGGAAGGCGTGGACGGGTTCGATGCAGTGGCAGATGACGGCGGCAACGAAACCGAGCCAACGTCATCGGAGAACATGGACATGAGCTGGTCGTCGTCAAGCCCATCAAACCCATGATGATGTGCTCCGGCCATCGGGTTCCGACATTCCTCGAGGAATGCCGTATCGAGGTAAGCAATAGAATCGCTAGCAGACCGCCGGTGAGCCCCCCGCCGTGCCGACGAGAAGTCAAGAAACTCATCCACCCACGTTGGTAACGACGGCGGCGAGTTCTGTTGCTGAAATTGTTGAGCTGCACTGGGATTGAAACTAGGCGGCATTGCGGCAGCTAACTTCTGGTGAGGATTAAACGATTGCCAATTCTGGGTCATGGTTGGTATCTTAGGAGGTAACTGTGCCATTTCCTAGGTGGGATCGAACAACAAGGTTAACTTGAACAAGCCTGTCCGAGAGAGAGATAGAGAGAGAGAGAGAGAGAGAAGAGAAATGGGAGAAGATTAAAAAGAAGCAACCTAGAAGTTAGAACCGAACAGAAATCTTAGATGAAAAGCGAATTCTGGGGATCCTAAACCAGCAGTGTAGTATGAGGGAGGTCATATAATATAAGGAAGAGGTCACCTCACAACCACCCAGAAGACATCATCATATGTAAATGGATTATTGTTAGTGATATATTTTTGCACATTTATACGACCTAATTATAGTGATCCATGTTTCTAGTTTGATTCTTAGGTTTTTGTTTTGGGGGGGGGGGGTTGCGTGTTTAGAAGGTCCAGAGGTCTTGGAGAGAAGGGAAGAGGAAGAGAGAGGGAAAGTGAGTGTCACATGGGAGGGTGGATTATGGACAGCTATCAACAGCTATGTGGTGGAAGACCAAAAGTAGTGAAGTTTAATATTTGAGCAAATAACACCCACTGCCCCAACACCTATCTTAATTTTGTTATGTTCACATCCAAATTCTTAACTAGTCCTTTTTGTTTTGGTGTGGAAGGGCCAAAGTTAAACTATCTACTTCTCCAGTCCCTAATATAAGACCTATTTAACTAATTTGATTAGATTAAGGAAGTTAGATAAATTCGTTAATTATAAGAAATGTGACACGTTTTTCTTAAAATACCATAATCATCTTTTTTAATACCTCATCTACCTCTTCTACTTGATTATGGTTGAGGAAGTATCCATAGGGATAATTTAGAGAAAATTGATAAATATGAGAAATGGATCTTATATTTAGGACAAAAACTAACTCAACAATTAGGTCATATACTAATGACCGGAAGAGTACAAAGTTAATGGGATCAAAACATCTGACGTTGACTCTCACATATGAGAGGGAATCTAATGTCATTAGGGACAATTCTTAATACTTTATTTACATTTAAGTTGATTTGAACACGATACCCAATTTAATTTTTTAAACTAACCTAATATGCTAAGTATAAGATCTAGTTCATTAATATGTCATATATGCTCAATTATTACCACTTTGATTAACTACTAAGGATCTAGATTTTACATATTATTGACAGTCTAAAAACTCAAAGAATATAGTATGATGTTTTTTAGATATAAGTAAAGGTGAAAGCCTAATAGCTAAATACTAAGGCTTATCAAGCCATTAGACATCCTAATATATTAAAACTAATAGAAATTTCAACATGCAGCTTAATATCTATAGTTTTTTAGTTTTAAAATATCATTCTATCTAACTTATTATTTACTACATCTTCTTTTCCTCCTCTTTAGACTTTAATTATGTGAGTGATTTAAAACTTGAATTGTGCAAACCTCATAATCCAGACATAGACACTACAAATTAATTAAAGAATTGGTGGGAGCTTCTCCCCTGAAAACTTGTTTAAACAAAAAAATTATGCATGATATTATTAATATCTCTCATGAATGATATAATTTATTACAAATTAAAAACACGGATGACTTGTTAATTTGATAAATTTTGGGAGCAAAGGTGTAATATTGTGAAGGAGAAGTAGTGGATTCAGCAACCACGTGCCGATGTGACCCCTCCCTTTGGCATCCATTATCTCACAAAATGCTACTCCTCATTCAATGCTCATATTCAAATCTAATCCCCTACTTTCATCAGCTGCCTCCCCTATGTCTCTTCCCTTCTCTTTCTCCTCTCTTTATTTTAATTAATATATTTATTTTTCCTATTGCTTTGAGTTGGTAAAAATTGATCTCTTTCTATTTGTTCATTTCTTTTCCTTATTATCTACTTAACCGACATGCATGAGAATAGTTTATAATGAACAATGAGACAAGTCACAACTCACAGGTGAATAGAGCAATTACCATGAAATTAAATAAGCATTTAAAAAAAATGAATAAATTACATTGTCCAAGACAGATCATATAACTATTCATAAAGCACTAATTTTGAACAAAAATTATACTTCTTTATGTTTTTTATTTGTACTACTTTTAATTACCCGACTAATAAAAAATACTACTTTTGGTCCTAATTATAAGAACTAGTTGATTAATTTAAGGAAATTTAATTAAAAAATAAGTTAAATTAGTTATTTGTAATAAATAGTTTTATTTTTCCTAAAATATCATTACTAATCAAGTGTATTGACTAGAATTACCATTATTAGAAGGACTATCTTGAAAAAAATACATAAATATGAGAGACAAAGTATATTTGAATCGTATATTTAGGACAAAAATAAAAATCAAATAAAGTATCATATTAAAGACCGGTGGCAGTATTAGTTACATTATCAAAATTGTCTAAAGATCATTTCAATTTTTATTTTTATTGCCAATTAATTATATGTCTCCCCATTAATTATAATAGTTTTCGCCCTTATTCTTTCTTATTCATCCTATCTATGAATAATGGTATATTTACAAAAAAATTTTTTTGGATATTGATTATAATTAATTTTAGTTGACTTCTTAGTTTACATTATTTAGTTATAAATAACTTATAGAAAATATTGGAAGGAGTAAAAATTTTTTAACTAAATTGGTTAACATTATTACACAAGCTCTTACAAGATGAGTCACATATTATATTAATTAGAAAACTTTTGTGAATTTCACGAAGGAAGAACAGGACCAAGAATAATGATTGATTCATAGGGTAATGTGCTGTGATCTTGTGAGCCATGAAGTCATACATTTTTTTAATGAAATATACAATTCGTTTCTTAGTTAATTGAATTAAAATATTGAGCGAAAAATGGAACCAAATATTCTAAAGCAGGAGCAAAGGGAGGGCCTATGGGCCCACTTGTAGCTTGAGGAGGGTCGGTGGAGCATCCCAACCATCTCACATTCATTACTACTGATCTGAAATGAATGGGGTCCTACGGACTGCTGCCTCCCGCCTCTTCTTCTGTATATGTAACAGTTTCGATATTCAGATATGGCTAACCAAAGGAGTGATCATTCAATGTGGTTCCTTTGCAAATTTGGCATTATCACTCTTATCATTCAAATATATCACAATTCACCAACTTAAATTAATGTATGTAACAAGACGACTTTCATCTGTTAACTGTGAGTTGTCCCAATATCTGTCCCGCTTAAATGAGATTCGTATTTAAGAGATGTTTGAATTAACTTTTCAAAAATTATTTTACAGTATTCAAGATAAGTACGTGAGAGGAGTTTTGTTTCAGTTTACATGGAAGCATTTTTTTAAAATGTTTTATAGGAATTCCAAACACCTTTTTAAACTCACATGAATATTTTTTTTTCTGTTACTTATATGTATTCTCCTATTAGAAGTAGTCTTATTTGAGGTATTATCAAATACACAATGTGAATATTTTTTTTTCCTGAGATTTGAATTCTAATTCATCATGTTCCGGGGGACTGCTGGCTTTCACTAAAGCAAACCCCATTTAAATTGTATAGGATAAAACACAAGACTTTCATTCTTAAAATCAATAATTAGAGTTAAATATCAATACCTCTTATTCTGTAATGAGTTTGATCGAAAAAATGTCTCCTTTATGAAAAATTGGTTTCTATTGTTGTAGATGATGATACTCCTAATCCCAAAAAAATTGTTCTAGTCAATCATTTAATATGAGAATTATATTGATAAAACAAAACGATGGTACTACTATTATTGATTACATCTATTTTGTTCCTTAAATTGTTATTCATTTTGAATACATGCATATTCATCTCATTATAATATAATTATTTTGTAATTTATGGATCACTTAACTACATTCAAGATTTAAAAAAAAAAAAAGCTTACATGAATTAAAAAGATACATGATTTTATAACTACTACCTCCTGTTCTAATTATAAAACTTTATTCGTAGTTTATAAATAAAGTCTTATAATTAGAATCAGGGTAATATTTTTTTGGGTAACATTCAAAGTGATGAGGTCACGCCTGAAACAAGAAATCTCTTGGGAAGATTAAACTAATGGGATAGAGAAATAGTGGGGTGGTGGAGGGTTTATAGGTAAGAATGAGCTGTGAAGAGAAAGAAAAGCAAGCACTCCCTTTAATTAACTGATCATTCGAGATTTTGTATAATATTTATAATTAAACACCTTGTCATGAATTAATTTCTTTTAAAGCTTTAGGGAAAATATTCTAATAAAACTAAAATTTCAAAATTAAGATTTTATCAATAACAACATGAAATTACAAACGGGATCGTTGTACTACCCTTTTATCTTCATTATTAAATAAGAATTTTAATCAAATTTTGTGTATAAAAACACATGAAAAAACACTACTTTCATTTGGGATCTAATTCAACATATGAATTAAAATGAAGTCATAGAATCAAATACGGTGATGTGTGAATCTAATTCTAGCTCTTTATTATTATATACGGAAGAAGAATCATGTCATGTGAAGAGGCCAGCTTGGTTTGTTTGCTTTGTCCCAAATCAGAATCACATGGCCAGATTTCTGTCTCTTGCCTCTCAGATGACTATTTTTTTAAAGTATTTTCCCCATCATTTCTTGTTAGGACTTTTCTGCCTTTATTTTTTTCTGAAAAAATAACTAAAAAGTACTCGGGAGACACTAACAATGATTAGGGAAGAAAGGTTGGATTGCATGTTAACCACCTTTTTTTAATTAATTAATTTTTTTTCCGCAGAACTATATTCACTTACGTTTCCTCCTTTTAATATATTAGTCACCGTAAATTTAAAATGCACCACTTGTTTTCTTCTTTCCCTTTTCCTTTTCAACTCAAGTGAAGGAAAAAAAAATTATAGCGAGTGCCTGTAAATATCGAAAATTGGGCTGATTGTTAAATCGATCTAGGTAAGAGTTAATGGAAACATTGCTATGAAGTCCCAAGCAAGAAATATAATTACTATAAGGTTTCAGTAACAATAGAGTAGTCTGTAATGAGAAGTTCAAGTGTAGTAAATAATAATTGTTCTTTTGTTATTGAGATTTATTGATAATTATTTTTTTGAGATCTTGTTATGATTCTCCCAAGGTTAATGATTCAATTAGAGCTTAATCGTATAGCCAAAAAGTGCTTATCATAAAAATAATAGTATTTTATTAAAATATATAAAGATATTCATACATCATCATGAAAAAAGCAATATCTTAATCATAACTTAATACATTAATCATCAAGTAAAAAGACCTAACGTTTATCATCCATGAAAGCATACGAAGTCTTAATGTCTTATGCATATTTGATTGATATTTTTAGTCAAATTTCCTGTATATCTATTTACTTATTGCTTATTGATGGTCTTTATTTACAAAATTTTCAAAAGCTGTCAAATACGAAATGTATTAAAAAAAAATCAAATTATTCACAAGTCCTGAATTATAAAGTTTAGTGCAACACATAATTAATTATCACCATATCTAATTCTGTTATACCCGTATATGTAAATCTATAATTTTTTTGTGCGTGTCATAATTAACTCAACTTGGTAAAAATACCCCAATTAAATATTCTATATTAATAATCCCAAAGCACATAAAAGTGATTGCATGTGGCCTCCATGAACTGCTTTATTTTAGAATAAGGATTAAGGAATAGATGGATTGTATATATAAAATAATAAAATGTACTGTGTATAAAATTTTGGTTCTAATTATGTAGGGTACCGTACACAGGATCGTTGGTGAAGGACTTTGTGGGCATAAGGTGATTAAAGAAGAAAGCATAATTTCACGTGGGCATGAGAAAACAGGTGATCCCAACCTGTCTTATTATTACTTAATATTTGATTAGTGGCGCTTAATTTTTTTGGATGTGTTTTACTAATAGAAAAGTTTGTCAACAAGATAATGTAATTATAGAATAATTATGGCAACACGAACTTGACGCGTAGACTCATTAAAATATGTTTGAATTATTATTACTTTTAAATAGGTGCACTTTTTAGGACTCAAACTTGTGTTCAGCTCTTTACAGGATAAAACCGTTTACTATTTCAACCAACAGCTTGTTAGTAATACGTTTGAATTATTTTTTCAGTGTAAACTCAAAGTCTCCCGAACTCACTATGAACTTCAGACTAATTTCTATCGGGTTGGAGAAGTTAAGGTTAAAAATTTTCTAATGTACTTCTCAAGATTTAAACAGAATTATTAATTGTGTGACCGGGAAAAGAAAGTCTTTGTTCCATTCAGACTACCAAGTAGGATTACGAGATAAAATGGCCGGCTCAATATGGGCTTGTCGTGGCCCATTTGATGTTTGTAAGAAGCCCAAAGAGAAGTAGACAGGCTCATTTTCTCAAGCCTAATGTCCTTGTTGTATTTAGTGGGCCTCAGCTCCCGCCTTTGCTCACCGCTAGCCCTCCTCCATCGGCTTTTCGCGAACTCCCCTCCAATAAAATGGAACAGATAAACTTTATAATATAAATTCACCATAAAAATGCAAATATGACAACTAATTAAGTCTTATATATTTTGGCCAAACAAAACTCTTATAATTTTTTTGTTAAAAATTTTTTTTTTTGCTCACAAAAGTTTTTTATAAATCATTATTATCCTTCATCCAATAAGTAACTAAAATTTGACTTTAATAGAAGATATTTGTCCTTATAAAAAAATAAATAGCTTAATTGTTAGTAAAAAAAAAGAAAAAATAACAAAACATATCTATTAATTTTTAAAAAAAACATAGATAATAGTAACTAATCTTATAATGATTTTAATTACTTTTATAATAATTTTAATAAGTCAAAGTTTTTCAAAAGTACTTATTTATTGTTTTGAAATTTGACATGTATTTGTCTGTCTTTTTTTTCATTTAAAAAAAAAAGAATTCCGGGCAATTTTTTTAATTTTTTCAAAAGAAAATCCCTAACCTAACGGACCTGGTGATCTTCAGCTGGACTCGAAAGCTTCAACGACGTCCTCTTGGCTTCCTCCTTCCAACCTCCTCTGAGAATCAGTGTTACTTTCCTTTCCTCACCTTCCTTTTGCTGCGAGTGAGTTCCGTAGCTTCCTCCTTTGACGGTGACGGAGCGTTTTGAGCGTTCTCCATTCATTCATCCCTGAGCTACCATTTGGGCGACTGAAGAAAGCAGGCGAAGCATATAGTAGCGGTGGAGCTGCTACTCTGTGCTCTGCTTTTCTTCTGCTGCTCTTCTCAGTTCTCTCATCTAATCCATCAAACAAAAGGCTCTTTTCCGTTCGACGCATTGCCACGATGGCTTCTTCCGTGGAAGAGTTCATGAACAAAGATATTCATTCAGACGACCTCGCTATCACCCCCGTTGATCCTCCCCCAAGCCCTCAACACCATGAACATAGGTTTACATTTTCTTCCGTTTATTTCATCGTGCTATCACGCTGACTCCAATGCTTCTTGCTAATTTTATCCAACTGTTATTATAAAAATGCCGAGCTTGTGACTCCTTGCAATGGAGGGGATCTTTTATTGGCATGAGGAAAAATGTTGTTTAGGGGCTTTAAAGATGGATTCGTTCATTTGGTTGTTTTTATGCGTTGGGAATATGCGTCATACGTGGAAGCTGAAACCGGATTGAGGGAATTAGAGATTTTTAAGTTTAGATAAGTTCACAATAATTGGGTAATTGGGATGTAAATTAAGAAACTTTATGTTAAAAATATAAAGCTAAGAATGCTAGTTATGTTATTATATACAGGAACTCCTCCCTTCTCTGTATCTTCACTTGTGATGAACTCGTGTTAAATAGCTTCATGCTGATACGGTGTTTCATACTTGGTATAGGGAAGCTGAGGAACCGGGGATTGGAGACACTGCTATAAAAGTTCATGGTCGGAAAAGGAAGTCCAAGGGGGTTCCTCACGATGATCGCATGGCCAAAGAAGAAAAGCTTGTCAAAAGAATCATTTTATCATTGACAAAGCCTTCCTATGTTCTAGGATTGTGTCCTCACAAATTGAGGTCAGAAAATCAGTATAGATTGCGGATTATATTGCAGAGACTCGTGAAACAGCAAAAATGGGGGGAAGCTAGTGGTGTACTTAGTGTGTATCTGCAGGCAACGGTTAAAGAAAAGTCACCTTTTGATAATCAGTTTAAGTTTTGGGTATGAATTTTTTTTTTTTTTTTCCTTTTTAAAGTTTTGATGTCTTTTATGTCTTTATTTTTGTTATAGGTTCAAGGGGAGTGGTTGTCTCCAGTTCTGCATGCATAGAATGTATTGGCTATGAAACCAGTTGTTTTGAATAAACTTATTTGTTCTGGTTTTCTGGCATTGTTGCAGTAACTTTAAAATTTGGGATTGGGAAATGGGATTCTTGGTTATGGGAAATTTCCTGGCCATTTTGGAAAATCCCTCGCGTAATCCTTCCCCCTGGAGAAGTGGGGAGAGAAGAGGAAAACAGATGGTTAAATTATTTTCCTTTCCTATGTTTAAATTAACTGCATAATAAACAAAAAAGATGAAATGTATAAGTCTGACGTATGTTTTCACACATTTATCTATTATTATATGCTCGAATATGATTTGATTTGTTGATACCTTAATATCTACTGGTTGATTTATCTCTCAAAATTAAAATTTCTAGATCTAGGAAGCTTAAATGTATACAATGTTTGGTATCCTGGGAGGCTTCTGAAGATTTTCAAGGGTTAGTGGAAAATCATCTGTCCTCCACCCGCTCCTTACAAAATACTCCCAAACAAGTCAGAGATTCCAAGGAAGCATTTCCTTCCTGACCCTTTCCTTCCATTATCCCCATCCAAACATGCTTATACCATTTTGGTGCAAACTTGATGTCTGGATGAAGAATTTTATATGCTATTGTAAGATGGACTTTTGTCAGCTGCCAATCTAAATCTCAACTGTTTTGAAGGAAGGATTTTTTCCCTTCATTTTTATCTGGAGACATTACTACCTAGACATGTTAATGTCTGGAGGAAGCTTTGTGTGGGAGGTTGAATATTTGAAGATATGTGTTAAGGCTTACTTAACCACTTAAGAATTTTTTTTTTTTTAAACCATAATGTTAACAAATTTTTTATAATTTGTTTTGTTGATGGGGTGCAATTTATTCTAGAAATATGAGTTAACAAGATGAGATGAAAAATATAGTTCTAGACTCAGAAGTCTAGCTTGCTGAAAAACATACAATTTACATGTCACTTTCATATCCGGAAGTTTGTTAAAATGGTTGAAGCGGCTTAATCTGTTTGGTACACATTTAGTGCTCTCTTGATAATCATGCCACCTAGTACTATGCTGCTATTTATTTTTGTCTTGATAATCTGTTTTTGATTTAGATTCTCAATACCAGGTTTTATGTTGTTACATCTCTAGGTTTTACTTGAGTTTCTCAAACATGTTGAAAATAGTCGTATCAGTCCTACGAGAATCAAGAACATCTATGATGTTTGGATGAGGAAGAATGGATCGATGAAGTATTGGCCGGTAGAGGTATATTTCATATTACTTTTTCCTAAGTGCCGCAAAATGACCATCTTTTTGTTGAATGTTTCCAATGTTGCTGGATTCTAACTGATTTTGACTTGTTCTCAATGCCTTGGTGGTGTTAACAATTATTTTAACGAGCATATTATCATGGTAAAGCTATGGGGAATAATGGACTGGGGTAAGAGTAGTTGTAGGAAAGGCACAAATAAAGACCAAACAATATTATGAATCATTGGAGAGTATTGTCTTCTAGAGTGCACCTGCTTTCTTTCGGTGTATAGTTTATGTCCATTTATGTCCATTTATATCCAGATTGTTGCAATCCCATTCAGGAGGAGGAAACTTATCCTTTGGAGCCCATAATAGATAGGAAAGTTTCCATATTTGCTACCAATTCATTTCTTTAGATGAGGAGTAAGCTTTACAGAATAATAAAAAATGTTTCCTCAACTTTGATTTTGTGTATACTGGATGGAAATGTCTTTAGGCCTTTCATGGTCAAGTGAAAAAGAATAGATTATTTTTCTTCGTCCTTTATATTGATTGTCCAATTTGCCATGGAGCCATTGTGTTTGCATTCATGACGTTAGGATGTTTCCTGAGACTTCAGTTATTAACATAAAGTTACTTGTGGAGCAGAACAGATTTGCTGTTCATTTGGAGTTCATACTGTTTTTTATTATGCAAGGCAACATTGAGGAAGCATACCAGGCTGTGCTATGGTATGTATTTTTGTTCTTTTGTGATTAATCCTTTTTTTGGTTAATGTGTGTTCATTTGCTTTTGCAAAGAAAGATGAGCAGCATCAATATGCCTAGTATTGTGTCGTAATTTAGTTGACTGAGTGTAAGCCATTCCTTTTTCTGCGAAGGTTTTATGACATTCTTTGAAACAGATTGTCCACAATACATATATTACGGTTTTAATAATTATCACTTTGTCTATTTTTTCTCACATTTATGACAAGTACTTATGGCCATGATAGGTACACTTAGTATAAATTGTTATTCCTAGTACCGCCAATGGATATATGTTGGTATTATACTCTCTGGTTTACAGTAAACAAGTTTCCTGGATTAGAGCTTTTCTGTTTTCTCCAACATAACTCTAATAATCATATTCTACAGCAAGTGATTGTGTGTGCCTAAAATGAATGGCTTTTAGTGAGGCATAGAAGGAAAGTAGGGGCATATTTCAGAAGCTTTGTTTAAAGGAAATTGGAGGAAGGCCTTTTAGCATGCTTTTCTTGATTAGAAGCTTTCAAAACCCAGATTTGTGCTCTTTTTCTGCTTGCTTGGCATATTATATACAGTCTGAACATACCATTGGGATGCTAGATTGGGAGGGTGAAATTTTAATTGGTAATAGCCCTTATATAAAACAAAAAACAAACAAGAATGCTGTTTGTTTATTACTCTGTGTTGTAGTTGGTCAAGTTTCTATGGCCAACAAAGGAAATTGGAAATTTTTCTTTTTTGAGCAACTTCATTACTGTATCTAAGTTGTTGCTGCTATCTGGTTAATGATATATTAATGTTTTAGAATTTAGATTTCTTTTTTGTATTGTCAATGCAAGTGCTTCTTTTATGATGTGTTTCTCTTGAAAATAGACCATGTAATTTTAACTTTTTGGCTATTCCTCTCATTTCTTCTTTTAGCCTCAAGCAAGAAAATGGGTCTGATCATGATTTTATGGCAAATATGATGATGGGTTTGGTATTCTATGAGTTGTGGTATTCCTGTATCCCGAAAGAGTTCCAATGGAGAGATTTAGACGAAATTGACTCCCCACGGACCTCATATATAGAGGGAGATGAATTCAGCAATCAACGCGGACAATCAGAGTGGCATAATACAGTTGAAACCCATATAGGAGAGGCTTTTTATAAATGTGACTCAAATTCATCTGTCTGTAATGATAAAAAAATATCTGTCGATGCTGGGGTTGACCAAGACATGAGTGCTCCTATGGAGATCAATGTTGACCATCAAAGAGAAAAACCTCTTTCAAATTTCCAGCCTCAAGGTTTTTACATGGATTCTGAAGAACATACAGAAAATGGAGACTCTGACTTTAATAACAGATTTCATATGCAAGATGCCTCTTCTTTATATGCTCTTGGTAAATTTTCAGTATATATTCTTCTCATCTATTTCTTTTGAGTTTTCCCTTTTTTTATTAGCTTGTTATGTTTTTCTTCCAAGACTTTCTTATAATTGTCTTGGGGGCCTTAAATTTGTTTGGTTAGGTCACTTTATGATGGTTTCCTCCAATGAAGAGGAAAACCTAAAGTTTCTAATGTGATGGGACAATTAAGAATCTTAAGGGCTAAAATGTACAGAATTCCATGAAATTCGAGTTATGTGCATATGACTCTTAATCTTCAAAACTTTACAATGGATCCTGTAATCTTTGAAATGTCTTTGATGAGAAACTTACCCAAAATTTGTATCTTGTGTTTAATCTGTTTCATTGTATGGGTGTGTTTCTTATGTTGGTTATAGGACTTTTTGTAACAAAAATTTATTTCCCCATTTTTGGCTGATAAAACTGTTGACCGGAGAACAAATCTATGTTTTGTTGGCAACGACAGCTACATGGGTTCAGTTGCACATATGTTCTTGTATTTGTGTCTTGATTTTCTCCCTAATATCTTCTGAGTGAAAACCATGCTTTCTTCTTATTTCTGCTTTTTTAATATGTGGGAACTTTTCTATACTTGAGACTTAGATGGCGATTTACGCCCCCTCCCTCCAAAGAAGGAGAAGATACAAATGGAAATTAGAGCCAAATATATTTTTTCTTTATTTTATTAACATCTGATCAGTCTCTTTCAATCACATATTACGCAGCATATTTAGGGTGAGTGTGGGTACCCTTTGGTTCACCTTTGATTGCATTACTAATGTTCTTTTACATTTACTTAGGGGGACTTGATTCGGAGTTGTTACCCTTGCATTTGCCTGACCACCACAGTTTGGAGAATTTCATTTTCATGCACAACAAACTGCTTAATGGCTATTTCAGAGATGCAGTGAAGTATTTACAGAGGGCTCTTGACTCAACCCCCTCTGCATTAGCAGCATTACTACCGTTGATACAGGTGCTAAGCATCCATGATCATATGCATACACGTTACATGAGTGTTCGTAATGTTCAAATTGTATATCCGGAGTTTCTGTATGTTGAAATGATTTTAGATGCCAGCATTCCTTTTTCATTTTAATATTTCTTTATTTTGCCAGCTTTTGCTGATTGGAGGTCAAGTTGATGAGGCACTAAATATACTTGAGAAGCAGTGCCGGACTTCTGACTCTGCTCTTCCATTTAGGTACATACCCCGTAGCTCATCGTATGAATAGGATGGGTGAATGTCATACCTCTATAGTTATTTCTTTGCCATGCTTAGTTTATTGATTAACCATGCATGACTAGAGTTATGGCCCACAGCAGACCTGGTTGTTTTTTTTTTTTCCCCTTAGCACACTAAACTTGTGATAATGAGGCTGATGAGATGTATTATGGGTTTAGAGATTTGGACGTTTCTCTAATGTCATAGTGAAAGTGGTGATAGGGTTTTTTCTTCTTGCATGCTGTCCATGACTTTTCCTACATGCTAGTTATATGGTTGTTGAGAATACATACCTTGTACGCCTCCAGAATAGTTAAATTCAGTGAGCACTATGTGAATGGGATTTTTCTGGTTATTTCTCCATCGCCTCCCTCCACCTCCTTTACATTTCCCCAGTGTCCTGTTCTACGCAGGGAATATTTTTCCCCAGGCCTTCCCCTAGTATCTGGTAAGATGCCAAGGGGCAATAAGTGAGACAGTTGCGGACGAACACTAGCAATCATGCTAGCTGAAGTTATGCCTTTACTCCTGTGAAATGCATACTTGCACAACTTGAATCATTTAGTTTGCTTTATGTTCTTTGATATCTTAATGGCAAGGAATACAAATATGCTGAATGAAACCTAGGACCTAAAATATAACTTAGAACAGTTAAAAATTATTGATTGGGATATTTTTATTGGTTTGAATAAAATTATTTTTCTGATATATCTTTTTAGTTCTCATATTGTTGATAGAATGATAGTTTTTGACACAAGCAGATTGTGATACTCTTAAGTTGTTTTCCCTTCATTTTTCCAATGTCACTAATTTATACACTCTTAGATTGAAGGCTATCCTCCTGGAGCGGTTGAAACCAAACAATTCTCTCTTACTTGCAAGCTGTTTTGAGGATACATTAAAGAAGGACCGGACATGTTGTGAATCATTAGCAAAGCTTGTAAAGCTGCATCTAAACGGTACTTTGCTTTTATAAATCATCACACTGACCCTTCCGTTATGATTCAGAAACCACCATAATTTCTGATTTCATCCTGCCCTCTTTGCTCTGTGTGTGTATTATATTCAGATTTCTCTTGATATATTGCAGGGCATTATAATGTTGAGTCTCTAGTAGAAATGATTGCTTCACACTTGGATGCTACAGATGCAGAACACTACACATGGAAGGTGTTTGCTTCTTGTTTCCTTATATTATTTAGCTATGAGGAAGATTGCATGTCTACATGCGTAAATGATAGTGAAGATGAGCTCAGAAAACACGTTAGATCTTTCCCAAGCGGCATCCCAAAAGTATTTACAGAGAAGCCTTGGAAGGTGCGGAGTAGGTGGTGGAAAAGACGACATTTTGGATCAAAGAATTGTAAATCAGAAATTCAAGCTGGTATATATCTTCTAATGCCTTTAAATCACTACTTCTCTTTTAATAAATTGGGGTTTCTATTCAGTTAATTATACAACGTAACATATCAGCGATTAATTGCTTGTACAAGACATGCTAATTTATTGTCTTCAATGTTATTCTGGTGCAGGTGATTTGCAGTTATTGACATACAAAGCTGCTTGTGCATCGTACATATATGGAAGAGAGTTCCCTTATGTTGTGAAGGCTCATTCTCATTTAGAAGAACAAAATGAGAAGGATTTATTGAGCCTTTTGGATAATCACAGATACAGCTCATATGGATTTTATAAAAATTTGACATAAAGGTACATAGTAACACAATTTAACTAAAAGCAATTAACAACAGTCTGGCATGTGAATCTGAGAAGAAAGCAGTAGAATAACATACACGAACAAGCAATCAAAGGACATGGACCTTGAACCTGAAAGTTTGTACTTCGATAGATACCAAGCATTGATGTATTGGGGGCTAACAGTGCTACCACAACAAAGTTTCAAGGGCTCACGGTGCTAATAGAGAAAATTTAGATGATTTAATCAAGAGTACAAATACATAAAAAGCAAATTAAAAATTAAAAGAAAGTATATGTGCTTGTAAAATGGTTTTTCCTTGTAAGAACATATTCTCCTTTAGTGCGTTGAGTTTATTACTAATTTTTGGTGATGTTCTGATCTCCAAGCTGCGCAAATTATTAACGGTTTTTAGAGTCATGCAAAACGTCTATGTTCGGCAGCTTTTGTAATCTTCGACTCATTCAATGTGTTTTATCTGGTTCTAAATCAGAAGTGCTGCAAACTTACATCACTTTCCTTTTACATACCATCTCGAGTCCTAAATATAAAAATTAATTTGTAACATAAATTACACTATAAACTAATTTTTATATTTAGGAGAGGAGATGGTATGGTTATTTGTCTTTGCATCCTATGCACTTCTCTGGAGTCAGCTTGAACGCAGTCAATGGAACGTAGAGATGAAAGCATACGAACCAAACAATTCGATTGGCTACTTTATATGATGCTAAAAAGAACAGAAAAGATGGAAGAAATAACTGAAGTCAGATGTTCTGTAGTTCATTGATCCTCTCCCTAGTCTCATACAAGCTATCGATAGAAAAAAATTGCCCCCCATTAAGCCGTTAGCCTTTCTGCATAGTAAATTAAATTATTCTCACGTAGTTTTTATAGGGTCAGGTTTTCATACCTTAATGGCATTTGATTTATGTATTCATTAAGTTGATAATTTTGTGTTTTTGTCAACAATCGTGTCCTGTTCTTAATGCTCTTGAAGGTTTGTTGACAAATAGTCAAGTTTGTCAGTAAGTTCTCTGTTTTGCTCTATTATTCTTTTTTTTTTTTTTTTTAACAAAGCAAGTAACTGCCAAAACTTCAGTCTTTATCAACAGTTGGTCTAGTTGTGAACAAATACTATTTTGGATTTTTAATGTAAGACACAATTAACTAATTTAAGAAGATTAAAAAAACTACATAAATTATTTTAAAACATTTATATTTATCATTTTTTTTAAAACAAATTTGCTTAACTTATAAATTAATATATAATTTAATAACATACATAAGTATTTTAAAGAAATTATGTAATATAGTCTATAATTAAATAATTTATTTAACTTCTTTAATCTCTTTAAATTAGTTAACTGAGTCTTATATTAAGAAGTAAATGTAGTATTTACTTTTTTCCACAGCCGCATTAATGTCCTCAAACATATTGAAAACTTTTTGATTTCTAATAGCAAATTTATATTTTCTAATCTGGCTACTTTAAAAAAAAAAAATTCACCATCATTTCTAACATGAATATACCTTAAGGTATACTCTCAAACACTAAATTCTTCTCATTCCTCATTTGTTCCTTTGTCTAAACTGTTGACAAGCTTCTTTCTACAAACCTATCAGACGCACTTATCACGGTTGGTGAATGGATACTTTTCTCTTAGCAACGGCCATTTTCTTGTGTGCAAGGGCTAGGTGATTTTCTTCTACAAATGGACTTCATTGAATGATTCTAACAACCTCTCTAAGCTATGCATTAACTAATTTTACTTAAGATGATCAATCTTAATCTGTCATTTCTACTCTAAGCTACCTCTACGCAGAGTTTTGCTTCTACATGATGTCAGTGAAACAGATCATATTTCAGGTGCAAAATTCGTTTAGGGCTGAGGAATACATATAAAAAGGTTAAGGGAGGTCCCAACAGACATATCACTTACAGATTTCTGGGGCTCCATCTGTCCCTCTTTTGAAAGTGAGAAAAGTGAATGGTGATCGATCCTTTTCCAAACCAGCAAAGACTGCCAAACGGAAGTTTAATTAATCTGAGTATTTGACACTGACACGCCATTTCCAACATAAAGTACTGCAAAAAGTAACAAAGGCCTTGACTATACACCCCCCCTTGTCCAAAGAACCTCACGTGGTGACTCTCCCAGTCCCACTTGAGTATTGATATGTATGGGGTACAATGAATGTTCTTTTCATCATATTCAAGGGCCAACCTTTTTCTTTTTGGATGAAACTTGGGAATGTAGATTTTTTAGGGGTGTTTGGATAAAATCAAACTATAGTTTGGAAAACAGCTTCTAGAAAAAAAAAAGTTATTTTTGAGAATAGGAACAATATATTTTATAAAAAAGTGATTCTATAAAGTAAGAGTATTTGAATAGTTGTTATCAAAAGCACTTTTTATTTGTACAAATTACTAAAAAGGATACAAGTTAATATCATAATTACCTAAAAATAGATTTTATAATATATTTCAATTTGAAATAATAAATTTGTTAATAATATATTTTTTGCCAACATAATAAATAATGTATAAGAAAATGTAATTAATAAATAATTAATATATAATGTCTGAAGGAGTGAAGATGGAATGAAAAGAATGAAAAGAAGGAAGCTTGTAATTGAATGTGGGAATGTTTTTTGTCATATACAGTTGGATGTCCTTTGACAGTCATAATAATGACACCAACGCCCCCCAAATTCGCGCCAAGAAACAAAATGAATCTGTTTATTTTAAAATTATAATTTTGGCCTAAACCATGGTTTGCTCATTTTGACATATGTTTGGCAAATATCTGGCCCAAACTATGGTTTGGGTCTAAAAAGCACCTTTTCAGATTTTGCCAAACACCCCCTAAGCCTAGTTTTGCCACCTTGGTATTATTGTCAGATGGTGCGTGGTCCCCAACGAATCCATCGTTTAGCTTAGGTCAAAAGCCAACCGTTCATGCTGAGATTATGAGATTTGCCAATATATCTTTTAGCCAACCATTTAGGTGTATGTAGATATCATATGCGGTAAACTTTATGCCACACTATCACATAAAAGAATTCGCTTTAGTTGAATCATAATGGTAATACCTATAGTTGAAGATGGTGGAGAGAGCACTGAATTTTTCTTCATTAAAAACTAGTAATGGCGGCTGATATGGGACATAAAGAGATTGATGACAGATGGATGCCGCAGTTTTCGGCGAAGACTTCTATTTTTTAAAAGAAATCAACTTTAGTTTTTGATTTGGGAATCTTATGAAAAGCACTTCGTTGCATAAAAAGCAAAGTTCCATGCATATGCTAAAGTGCAGAATAAAAAAATCAGTGGGTGCTTCTATATATACCTAGCAATTCTGTCCAGAGACTCCCCACACCATTTACATACTCAAGTCTTATTATGGCTGTGAGCTGCAGGAAATGGAGGCTCATGACTATTTCCCTGTGCCTTGTCATTGTTTCTCCTCCAATCTCCCACGATCTCTTTCATTCTGCAACAGTCATGGACAGAAATCACAGCATGCATTTATCAAAAATGCCAAACAAGTGGTGAAGAAGATCACAGGAAGGCATCAGTTGCTTGGAACACAAGATTTGCCTACCCGTCTCAGCCCCGGAGGCCCAGATCCTCACCATCACTTATCTCCCTCTAGAAGTACTTGAAAAAAGAAGAAAAGAAAGATAAACAAGCTTTAATTCTTGCTCACGAGGACAAGAAAAAGGCCCACACAAACTTAAAGTTGTGCGCTATTGATGTTTGTGCCATTATATTCCAGAAACAGGTGATCTGAATAAGAAGTGAAACCCGTGAGTCTTAGCCTGTTTCGTCCTTTTTCTTGTATTTCAAATAATTTGAGGGGGAGATTTGTGATGGTGAGGATCTGGGCCTTCTTATGTTCCAAGCAACTATTGCTTTTGTGTGATCTCCTTCATCACTTGTTTGGCATTTTTGATAAATGCATGCTGTGATTTGTGTCCATGACTGTTGCAGAATGAAAGAGATCTTCGGAGATTGATGGAGAAACAAGGACAAGGCACAGGAAATCATACCTCTTCTGACGGCGTGCGTGTGAGAGTGACGATCTGGTTTGTGATCAGGGAACTAGTTTTATCTTATTATGAATTATCAGTTATGTTTGGAAGTCTATATTTAATTGCTTGATGATTAATGCGCTTTCCATTTCCTATATATCATTTCAATCACATCCCCAGTTTCCGACGAGCGTTTGGTTTAGCTTTAAAAAGGTATTTTGCGCCTTATAAGACAAAATTGATCCCCTCATACGTCCATCTTGTACAGCTCAAAATCATTTAGAATAAGATAATTCAAACAGACATCTAGTAATTGGTAAGAGAGCTCCCCTGATCCAATGGTGGCCACTCACTCTTATTTGCAATATTCCATGCTAGAATAGAAGTGCAAGAATATTTTATCCTTACTTTAACTATTAATACAGTTCTGAAAGGCTTTTTTTCACCCAATGTTGAGTTTTTTTTTTTTTCAAAGGTATAATAACATGTTGCCAAAGAAAAGGATAATATCATACTGATTTTAAAACTTTCATATATTATGTTACTCCACAATTTTTATTAGGATCTAGTTTATCTAAATTTACTTTTGGGGCAAAAATTATACTTTAACCCATAAAATGTATAGTATAACTGGTTAAAACAACGGTAAAATGCATGCGAGTTATTATTCAATTATTCTTTTTTTTAATACAATATTATTCAATTATTCTAAATGTGACACATCATCACAAATGAGTATAATAGATTATACTGCTCTGGTATTTAATCTAAGACTTAATTAGATGGTTAGTGGTGGTTCTATATATAAGATTTATTTCACATATTTATCAATTTTTTCTTAAATTAACCCCATTGATATTCTCTCAATAGTAATCAAATAGGAAAAGGAGAGAGGGATGGAATTAAGAAAGATGCCTATGGTGTTTTGAAAAAAAAACATATTATATTAACTAATTTAACTAATATTTTTAATTTACTTAAATTAGTTAATTAAGGTTTATATTAAGAATTGGATGAGTATATGTATATCTTTTGCGAACCAATACTGCAAAAAAGTAAATAAAAGAAGAAAAATATATGCAAGACGACCCCAAAATTAGTTGGCATAGCGGAAAAAATGGGCCCCCAACAGGTGAGCCCAGTTTAGTTTGAAGTTCAAACTGTGCAAATGGAAGCTTGTAATCCTCGACTGGCTACTTGTATTTGGATCATCTAATGGCTTTTGCTTTAAATGCCCTTCATTAAATTTGGAATTCGAAAAACTACGCGAGAGATGCTAAAGAAGACATTGAGAATAATTTAATCTAGTATGCAGAAAGGTTACCGATTTAATCA